GATATGGCACACTTTTTTTATCAGTACTTATATACCCTAATATTTTTAGAATTAGAGTTTATTACCTTCCATATGCAAACATGAGAATAATTTTATGATGTTCTCATGTCGTGCTCATGTGCTAATTATAGAACCTTTTAACTCATATTATTTGTGGAATTTATAGTTAACGGCAACCAAGTTCTATTTTAAGCTTATCACAATTTTATTTTAAAATACATTAGAGATAATCCATAACATTAAATTCAACAAACATCATAAGAAAATCTAAAATTAGCATGTGAATATCAAGCGGACATATTTGGAGAAATGTTCTTACGTTTGCATAACAAAAAGCATCGATCATGTTTGAACATTCCAGGTTACACAAGCGTTGTCAAAAACAAGTTAGGGTATAAAAGAATGATATAGCAATATTGATCTTTTTCCCATAAAAATAGGGGTTTTGAGATGTTGGTCTAGCAAATCTTATGTATTTTAAAAACCCAAAACCCCTGACTTACCTCAAATAAGCCCTTTGGTCTAACACTGTTAATTTATTAACCCATTGAAAACTAACAGAGGTTATCTTTTGTTTTCCCTTTTTTTTTTAATTTAATTTACTGTTATATCCATGGTTTTCTTCATCCCGATACCGGCATTCGTCCACACAAGTAATGCATGTCTCTAAACACCGTAAAATCCACACTAGCTCTTTAAAAAACTTACGGGGGAGCAATCTGCATCCAAGCCGGTTTTGTGATGACATAGCCGGTCCTCAATGCAACGTTTCCGACCATAAAAATCGGTCTTGGTAAGGTCATTCGATTAGTGTACTCACTTTATAGAAAGTAACTTCTCCCAAAAATTTGGGGCCGAAGATGGTGGTTAGTTAATTAGATGCATGAGCAATAGTCAACAGACTTCAACCAATTAGTATTTAAGCTCCTCCTTGTTGTCTTTCGTTCCTCCTGCGGTGAGAGAAAACAACAATTTGGTATTCGCAGTATAACTATTTTCACTCCTAGTCGAGTTAGTTTCTAACGGAAAAGGCTAACTTGGACTAATTTGGGAGAAGTTTTTTTTTGGCCAATGAAAACTTTTATTCATTTACCAAATGTGAGCTTTGAGTACATATCAAGATACTCAGATTTTTGAACCTGAGATACAAAGAACTTACAGGAACAAAAAAAAAACCAAAAAACCTCAACCTACAATAACAGAGAATAGCCCCTGTTAGAAGAAAGAGGACTGTTAATCTGGATGGTTGAAAAATCAATTTGTATGACTTTAATCAGCTGCACAGTGTCCCTTTTTTGCTGTGTAAAGATCCTTGCATTTCTCTCCCTCCAAATGTGATATATAGTAGCCGTCAAAGCTAATCTCTTCATCTTTTGCTTGTGGCCTTTTCCTCTCAACCTGTTGAACCAATTCATCAACTGAGCCCAAGTGTTTGATTTCCATTTGAAATCAGTCCAGTCCATTATGTGATTCCAAATGCAACATGAGAAAGTGCATTCAAAAAATAAATGATCCCTAGACTCCAGATCATTACCTTCACATAAGCAGCAGCAATTGACATTTATGATCCCTCTTTTTAAAAGCGTATCTTGAGTTAGTAGCCTATCATGTATAGCCAACCAACTGATGAATGAGTGTTTAGGGAAATTTAAACTACCCCATATAGTTTTGTACCATGGAACAATATCAAACACAGGGGAGACACCAGCATACAAAGCTGAAAGCTTAATCTTTGATCCCTCATAACAGGATTTGATGAGATTTTGTAACCTGTCTATACCTCCAAAATCTGCTAGAGCCTTATCTCTTGCTTTGATCAACTTTTTCCACATCCAAGAGTCTCCAGACCTTGCTTCTACTTGCCATATATTAATATTTTTGAGATAGTTTCCATGTATCCATTTAATCCACAATAATTCTTTATTTGGGAGAAGTTGTGGGTTTAATTTGAGGGATTTATTTAGAAATATCATGATTTGGAGGACTCCTTTCAAAACACATAAGATTTGAGGCACCAATATCTCAAAAACCCTAAATTATATAGCTAACTTTATTGATTTAACAATTTATTAAACTTCTAATTTACTAGCTAAATGGTAGTTATATTGGGCATAGTTACTATTAACACAATAATCTGTCACAATCCTAATTCACATAGTCCATGAATAGAAATGTAGTCCGAAACTCCACCATTTTGTTGAAGGATTCAATCAAAAAATTTCAAAAAGTCTATCTAAATATCTAGCACAAAATTTTTTTAGTCTTAATCAAAAGTCTAAGATGTATGATTATTGGACAATTGTCCTAGCCTAACAATCCCAAACAGATAAGCATCCTCTAAATTTAGTGCTTGTTTGGTTTCGCCATGATAATAATTTCTTAGAATGTCCTATTCTTATTCTTCTTCTTTTTGTTTGTTTTGTTTGAGGGGGCATAAATTTATACAAAATGTTCACCCAAAATGAGACTTTTCTTTGGAATCCATTTTCCTAGCTTTTGAGCTTGGAAATGGGATGAAAGTCACTTTTAGCAATAAAGTATATAGAGAGAGAAAAAGTGTTTTTGGTAATAAAATACTCCGACAAGGGCTTTAACCGTGTAATGCAATCATGGATTTTTTACATATTAATCCCTCAAAAATTTATAATTTCATATTAGTCTCTCAAATCTTGGAATTCCATGTTAGTCCCTCAAATCATATGACGTCATGCGAAGTCATCCCTATGATTAGTTACAATTTATTTAACTAGAATATTTTGTTAAATCTAAATATTAGCAGCAAAATTAGAGCTTTACTCCTCTGTAAACTTTCTAAATCCATTTCATAATATTTTAAACCAAGAACCCTCTTTTTAGAAAAATCAAATTCACTTGAACTCTTCCCTAATGGTCATAAAAAGAAACCCTAACTCAAAAATTTCCATTTAACGAATCTATCATCTTCTCCTCCATTGTTTGAAACATTAAAGGAGATGATTTTTTACATCTTTTATTAAGAAGAGGGGGTAATGTGATAATTGACAGTGTTTGGTTTGTAGTTAACCAAATCATGAGTTTGTTTCTTCATTACCAAACTAGCATACAAATAGCCCAAGCACCAACAAACCAATGCGGAACAAACAAAGAATAGATCCAAACTGGAAAAAAAATAGAGTCTTTACCAAAAAGATCTTACATTTATCACGAAAAGAAGCCCTAACCGAACTTCCAAAACGATCTACTCCTCCAAATAGCCCAAGCGTAGCTCGAACTCTGATACCACTTGTTGGGGTCGTGCGTGGAAGCTGAACAACCAAACTAACGTGCTTCGAGAATCAAATCAAACAAACATCGAGATAAATGCCAAACAAATCAAAACAATGACACAAATCCAAACACAATAGTTTAACATGGTTCGGCAAGTTGCCTACGTCCACGGGGCAAGAAGGGGATGAGGTTTTCACTAATAGAGAAGAAGAGTACAAACTGAGATTACAAATCACTCGAAACAATCAACTAATCTCACCAACAAATCTCTTAATCTCTCCAAATAAAACCCTAAAACAATAGCTCAGAAAATATCTATCACGCCCCGAAACTACAGTGAAAAAATTCATAAATACAGGGTATGTGACAGCAGCGACCCATGCACAAGACAAGTCTAGCATGAGTCAAGCCTGACACTTCATATCACATAGTTTATCTCTAAACATTTATAAACCTGCTGATGATAGAAGTTCAGAGCAACTATATATATGTATATAATCGATACTTACAACCCACAAGCTCACTGTTATAAGCATTTTACTAATTCAAGCACATTGTTGACTGTATGTAACATAAAAAAGGAGAGGCTCTCCATATAACGCCTCTCAGCCAAATGTCCTGACCAAAAGTTCAGCTAGTGTGAAGCTACACCGGATTTGAAAAAAATTTAAAAACAACGGGGTGAGCTAGAGCTCAGTGAGAATATTTCCCACTAGAGTTCCTAGATAACTAACAAAATAATAATAAGAATAATTCCCAGAATAACGAATTATAAGTTTTGCATCAGAAATTCAAAATAGTAAAATAAGATCCAAATATCATAATATTGTCGTCTTCAAGAAAGAATGCAAGAATTATATTTTCTTTCTTATGTGCAACTGGATATACTGTGACATTTCCTGAAATCAAACCCTTTTTGAATCAAGATAAACATTAAGAAAGAAAAGAACTACTAATTTGTACAAAATCAGAGGATTATTGTTTTCTCAATTTCACAGTCAATTATCAAAATCTTAATTCTCGATGAGTTATTCATAAATGTAAAAGTCACCTCATATGTTACACTAAGGCTACAAATTATAGCCTAGTAGCAAGGGAATGCGTAAAACACATTACATAACAGATAATTTCCGAGAATCGAATGCACCTAACATTGCCATAGTTTACTGGCCAAATACAGAGGGGCCAGAACAAATTTCCGAAGGGCCAATACAGAGGGGCCAAATAAAGGTGCATTCACCATATGGCAGGCAGAAACAATCCATAGTGGACTGTTTGAGGGTTTAAAAACATCAAGATCACATGTCAAATGAGTAATACTTTGCATATCATAATTTACAGATATTTTTAAATAAAATTGATAAGGTAAAGCTCCTCATTTCAGTTAAAACAATTTACGGATTTTTACTTTTTCTTTTATCAGATACAAAGTCACAGAAAATCTTTGAATCCGTTAAACTGTTTAAATACATTCCAAATACTTCATCAAAAACTTTCAGATAAAACAATGCCCATAATTATTTAAAAATTGCATGAGAGCTAAATTCATTTTTCATATTGTACATAAAAATCAAATTTACTTTTCTTATATTGTACGAAGCTAACATCGTATTATAGGATAGACCATAACAGAAATAGGTCAAATCTTTATATACATGAAAATGACATATTATTTATTTTTCGATCACAAGATAAATCAAATATAATACTCATGCAATTTCATATTATAAAATACTAGTGAGAAATGAACTCACCTCTAATGAGTACAACTTCCTCAAAACACTGCTTTCCTGATATGAATCCGAACCTATAATATAAACATAAGACTAAGATTAAACTCAGGACAAGTACATTTTGAATCCGAACCTATAATATAAATATAAGACTAAGATTAAACTCAGGACAAGTACATTTTATAGGATAGTCATTGCAAAAATAAGGTACATGTAGATTTCTTTCTAATTTTAACAATTTACCTAGCTTAATTCCTAATTAAGTTTGAATTTTCTGGGTCTAGTTACAGTTTACTGAATAGTAGGGTCCTCATGAATAATTTCCATTCATTTTTCTTATCTTTTGGACCTATATACAAATTAATAATCTTTCAGGGGTCCCAAAACAATTTTTGTTATATAACTTAAATTCCCCCTTCTCTCTCTCCTCTATCTGTGCTTCTTCCCCGTTACTTCTCTTCTCATCAAATTTTTTTTGGTTTCTTTCTTCTTCTCCTCTCTCTCTCTCTCTCCCCCCCTCTACGGCGTCAAGTTGATGCGGTTGCTCAAGCTCCACCGTCGGAGCGGCCACCCGAGGACGAGTCCTCCCCGACGCCGGCGGTCAGGTAAGTGCCTATTCTTTTTTTTTCATCAATTCATAAAATCAAAGAAGGCTTAATGAGAGAGAATAAAAAAGTAAGTGCCTATTCTTTTTTTTTCATCAATTCATAAAATCAAAGAAGGCTTAATGAGAGAGAATAAAAATCATACCTTTGTTTCCCTCTTTTCTTTTCCTCTCCTTCCTCTTCTTCTTCTTCCTTTTTCCTCTTTTTCTCTTTTTTTAACCCTAATTTCTCTCCATTTCCTCCCTTTTTATATTGTCGGGAGGCAGTGGAAGAAAAGTTACAGCCATTGGTGAGGCGATGGGAACAGTGCGATTTTTTTTAATTATTTTTGTTCTTTATATATTTTTTTGTTTGGGGCTGTTATAATACCTCTTTTCTGTGCTCCAAATATCCCCCTAACAATCACCAATCAAAGCCAAAGAATTACTATTTCGTATGTTGGTATTTATAGCAAACACCAAACCCAAACTGAACAGGAAACCAAACATGGGCCTGACCTGATACGCAGTCGACCGCCACGGTCGACCGTGACAAACGACAGAGCCCAAAAATGCATTACAGGGTCTCGCGGTCGATCGCGCCAAGTCCAGGCACAAATCCTGGATCCGTGCACGATTGCGGTCAACCGGCCTTGCACTGCGGTCGACCGCACAGCTCCAAAACTGAACCCTGAGATTCCAAAACCTGCTCTGATCAAATTTCTCGCTGATTCTACAAATTTAACAAATGTAAAAGACTAGACATACAAGGGGACCCCATTTCAGCAGTCACATGAAAACATATGTGAATTAGTAGTCGAGCTCCACTTACCACTTTCTCTTGAGTTGAGGGGAAAAAAAGGATAGATGGCATACGCCATTGAAGCCAGTAGACCCTGGATTTCTTGCTGATGCTGAGGAACTCAGATCTGTCAATTTAAGCGTTTTCCTCGAATTGGAGACTATATTACTTTCCTGTAAAATAAAGAAGGCCTTTCAATATTTTCCTTTGAGCCCTAATACCAAAGCACAAAAAATGAAAATAACACCTACAAGTTACACTCTAATTTCTTCTCTTTAGTCTTTACATTATTCTACTGCTGAAAGTAACTAAGATCTGCAGGTAACTAAACCAAATTCCGTGCATACATAATGACTAGAAAACAACAGCAAAATGATATGAAGAGAAACTTAATTAGCTTCCCAAACCCATGCTAGGACGCATATTAAAGGACACAAAAAACTGAAAATTCAGGCAGAGATCCCTTTTGCTGACCTGTTGTTGTTTGATTGCGGACTCTAATGGAGTATGCACATCTTCCCCTCCAGAAGGGACTCTCGGTAAGTGCCTATTCTTTTTTTTTCATCAATTCATAAAATCAAAGAAGGCTTAATGAGAGAGAATAAAAAATCATACATTTGTTTCCCTCTTTTCTTTTCCTCTCCTTCCTCTTCTTCTTCTTCCTTTTTCCTCTTTTTCTCTTTTTTTAACCCTAATTTCTCTCCATTTCCTCCCCTTTTATATTGTCGGGAGGCGGTGAAAGAAAAGTTACCGCCATTGGTGAGGCGGTGGGAACAATGAGATTTTTTTAATTATTTTTATTCTTTATATATATATATATTTTTGTTTGGGGCTGTTACACTCTCCCCACCTAATAAAAAGTTTCGTCCTCGAAACTTAACATACTTTAATCTCCAAAGAGCTCTGGATATTTCTCTCGCATAAAATCTTCTGTTTCCTAAGTAGCTTCTCTTTCTGAATGGTTTTCCATTGTACTTTCACATATTTGATGGATGGTTCGACGCTTAAGTACTTGTTCCTTAAAATCCACAATGCGCTCAGGTTTCTCCTCGAAACCTTATAAGTCAAGTCAAGTTTTAGCTCCACTGGAAAAAATTCAATTATCTCATTTGGATTTCGGATAAACTTTCGCAGCATCGATACGTGAAATACGTCATGTATTCCAGATAGAAATGATGGTAACGCTAATTTATACGCCATTAGACCAACCCTTTGCAGAATCTCAAAAGGACCAATGAATCTTGGACTTAACTTCCCTTGGATTCTAAATCTTTTCACTCCTCGGGTAGTCGAGACCTTTAAGGAAACATGATCACTCACTTGAAATTCCATTTCTCTTTTTTTTGTCATCATAACTCTTCTGACGACTTTGTGCAGTACGAAGACGTTCTCGAACTAATTAAATTTTATCAATTGCTTGTTGCACCAATTCTAGTCCGAGAAGTTTTCTTTCTCTAACATCGTCCCAATAGATAGAAGACCTGCACTTTCTTCCAATAAAAAGTTCATATGGTGCCATCTGAATACTAGTCAGATAGTTGTTATTATATATGTAAATTTAGCCAAGAGCAGATAATCTTCTCATGATCCTTTCATTTCTACTACACAACATCTCAGCATATCTTCTAGTGTTTGAATTGTCCTTTCTGATTGGTCGTCCGTCTGTGGATGGTAAGCATAGCTAAAATTTAGTTTAGTTTGCAGAGCTCTTTGTACACTTTTCCAATATTTTAATGTGAACCTAGGGTCTCTATCCGAGACTATTGATATGAGTATTCCATGCAACCTCACTATCCCATTGATGTATAGTTTAGTTAGCTAATCTAATGAAAATTTCATATTGATAGGTAAAAAATATGCTGACTTAGTCAATCGATCAACAATCACTCATATCCCATCATTCTTCTTTAAAGTCTTGGGAACACCGGTGATGAATTCTATAGTGGTATATCCAAACTTTGGACTAAATTGGCTGGTCTTTGGTGTTCAGCCTTTACTTGTTGGCAAGTAAGACATTTCGCAACATAAGTAACAATTTATTTCTTCATGTTATTCCATCAATAGATTTCCTTAAGGTCTTTATACATCTTTATTGATCCAGGATGCATAGTATACAATGGTGTGCCTGTTTTAAAATCTTCTTCTTTATCTCTGTTATATCAGGCACACAAATTCTATTTCTAAATCTTAATGACCCATCTTCATGTATTTTAAATGCTCTTCGAGTGCATTCTTCCCCATTTTTCTTTATTTTCACTAGTTGAGGATCCTTCTGTTGGTTTGCTTTAATTTCATCTATCAAGGAAGATTGTATCACCATATTTGCTAGTTTAACTCCAATTTGGTAAATTCTAATTTCAATTCCAGTACGATCTAACTCCTTCAATAACTATCTTTGAGAAGTAGTTAAATATGCTAGATTACATGTATTTTTGCGGCTCAAAGCGTAGTAACAACATTTGCCTTGCTGAGGTGATAATTGATGGTAATATCATAATCTTTTAGAAGCTCTAACATTTCTTTGCCGCAAATTTAACTCCTTTTGAGTGAATATATATTTCAAACTCTTATGGTCAGTGTATGTTTCACAATGTACACCATATAAATAATATCTTCAAATCTTGAGAGCAACACTACTGTCGCTAATTCTAGGTCATGAGTGAGATAGTTTTGCTCATAGGGCTTTAACTACCTTGAAGCATATGCTATGACTTTTCCATTTTGCATAAGAACACATCCAAGTCCTCTTCTAGAGGCATCACTGTAGATAGTAAAGTCTGTATCTCCAGAGGGCAATGTAAGTATTGGGGCAGACACTAATCTGCTTTTTAACTCTCGAAAGCTTTTCTCACATTCATCTGACTAGATGAATTTAACCCCTTTCCGGGTAAGACGAGTCAGAGGTGAGGTAATACACTATAATGCTGACACATGAGATATCTGATTTCATAATTGAACAACATTCTTTCTTTCACTTGTACTAATAAATAGATATTTACATATTCTGTCAGTAAATTCTTATTAAGCGGACATATAAGTACCATATTGGTGACTATTGTTTGTTTGCGGTGAAAGTTGCTATTTTCATTGCTATCGAATCTATTACAACTTTAGTCATCACAATAAACTCGAATAAAATAAAAAGTTGATCTTTTTATAAGATCTCCTCACACAATGAAAATAAAAGAAGTTTACAACTTTGTCAAACAAACGCTGGGAGATCGTTTATCGATCTTCTGCTTGCGTGGGTGTCTTTGCCTGTACCGGGGTTTATCTGTGGACCACCGTCGATCAGATCTGATTGCTGAAAAATTGGACAGAGCTTCGTTTATCCGCGAAGGGATCGAGAAACCGTAGCTCTTATCTCGGCGAAGCGAGATAATCACTCTTCTTAAGATTATCACAACGGGATAATCTTAAGGAACGGATCCGGGAAACTGTAGATCTGACGAATCTCTCTCTCTCTCTCTTATGTTGAAGAACTCGATCCGATCTCTCCTCCTCCTCTTTGAAATTCGTGCACCTTCAGTCTTCAATCCAGCAGGGCTTCGCCTAATCTCCAAAACTCCAGCCCTGAAAAAATGAGGACCCGGGGGCTCTATTTATAGGCTTTACGGACGTCCGGGCGGTTAAAACCATCTAAAAGGCTATTTCTGCATTGGAGACACCCCAGGGTGTCTCAAACTGGGCCGAGACACCTTAGGGTGTCTCGCTCGTGTCGAGACACCTCGGGTGCCCCAGTTCAGCCTGAGACGCTCCGTTATGCCTGTTCGTCCGTTTCCGCCGTAACTTCTTCATCCGAACTCGGATTTGAACGATTCAAAGTGCGTTGGAAAGCCGACGAAGAGTTCTATAAGCTCCAATGATTATATCATCGGTTGAACAAATGAGACACAAAGGGTATTTTGTCGTTTGTGAACGATACGAGGTTCCCGATCAGTTCGTGTCTTTGTTATCCTGAAATTCTGCTGGTTCACATAGTTCGTCGATTCACTTCAAACGTTCACCGACATCAATCAAACTTCTGTGAACCGGATAGTGACGTTCATCGTCGTTTCTTAGCACTGAGCTGTTCGTGGAGACCTATAGGCAATTTTCGATGCCTACAGATACCCCCTCCAAAGCGTTCCAGACTCGTTTCTTTTATAGAAGAGGCTGGAATACTTTGGATATGATTGGTCCAACCTTTGATCGGTGTAAAGGACCTGTGATTAGCTTCAATTCTTGACTCCTTCGATTTTCAATCCATTCGATGCTTTGACGAATAGCTGAAGTTCTTTCAGCATCGCGTTTATCGCCTGGCCGTCGTCGAAGTCTCAAATCTAAAACTGATGAGTTGAGTTTGGCTCGTGTCGTCGAATTGACTTTGAACTGACTACCTTCGTCATGATATATTGATTCGCGTTGACTTTCTGATCGTAACGAGTTGACTGGCGTTGACCTAGGGTTACGCGTTGACCGGCGTTGACCCTAGGGTTTTGAACATCGCACGTTGACTTTTGATCGCAACGCGTTGGCTGGCGTTGACCTAGGGTTATGCGTTGACTGGCGTTGACCCTAGGGTTGTGAACATCGAACGTTGACTTTTTGATCACAACGCGTTGACTGGCGTTGACCTAGGGTTACGAACGTCGAACGTTGACCTTTTGATCGCAACGCGTTGACTGGCGTTGACCTAGAGTTACGCGTTGACCGGCGTTAACCTTAGGGTTTAAATTGTCATACGTTGACACAGTTTATACTCGTACGTTTACTGGAGTATACACAGTTTAAGCTCTTAAGGTATTGGAGCATGGTGGTCCCAAGTGTCGGGGCTGCAGGACCAACTGTTAAAGCTGATTTATCTGCATTTGTGGATCTTATCTTAATGTTGTTGGATAATCGAGTCACGAGACCAACTAACGGAGCTGATACATCAATGACTCACATTTATAGATTTTTTGGCAAATCCTCAGCCGTCAACGGGTTTGATGGGCCTTTACCGACTACCGTTTGAGTCGGGCTAGCATGCAGATTGTTTAAGTCCATTCCGCATGTGACGTTAAGCTAAAAGAGTTAACCCTTTTAGTGCTACAATATTGAATACGTAGACTTCGTCTTTCTCCTGTGAAAAGACTAAACAGCGACGTGTATCAGACGTTGACTTAGGATTTTTGGCAAATCCTCAGCCCTCAACGGATTTGACGTGCTCTTACCGATTACCGTTTGAATCGGGCTTACATGCGGATTGTTTTAAGCCCGTTCCGCATGTGGCGTTGTGCTAAAGGAATGAAATCCCTTAGACTTGATGCTACGACTTCGAATACGTAGACTTCGCCATTGTTACGGGAATAGGCTACCCGGTAACGTGTGTTAGACGCTGACGTATCCCTACTTAGGCTTCAGGATAAAATTCCCCAGACTGGAATTCTGGTGTCTTCTTCAATCGGTGTCTTTTTCAATCGGAGAAAGACTAAACCGGCAACGCGTGTTAGGCGTTGACTTATCCCTACTTAGGATTCAGGATAAAATTCCCCGTGCGTGTGAAGCA